ATTTTTTTTTTTTGGAGAGATTTTTTTCACTATAGGGCGCGTTCACTCGCCAGACAGACAGAGAGAGACATAGAGATAGAAAGCGAGAAATCACCCCCCAGGGAGGATGGTCACGCCGCAATTCCTTCTCCTCCATTCTCCTCTTGGAATCTTGGGCACACACGCACACGTGCCCGGCGTGAGTTTTAAGCCACCGGGTCCGGGACGTGAACCACGGTTGATTACGTGGGAGTCCAGCGACATAGCCATTACGCTAACTGCTGGTTCCCAATGCTTTTTTTTTTAATTTCAAGAAAAACAGTTTTTATGGGTCTTTTTCCTCCTGAAATTTTTTAAAATTAATTAATTTACATTCATCCCTTAAGCATCATCACAGCATATAAAATGTAGTTTTCCATCCAGAATATACAAAAACATCTTATATATAAATAGAACAAATTTTTTAAAAAGAATTATTTTATTCAACTTTATTTATTTATTTATTTATTTACTTAATTTGATCAGAGAGGTGTGGGGGTGGGTGAGAAAGCAAGCCTCCAAACCTGGGATTCGAACCATAGTCAGCCATGTGGGAATCCAGTGCTCTTAACCACCATGCCACTTGCCGGCCCCTAGATTTTTTTTAAGTTCATATTTTTTAATTTAAATTTATGTCCCAAAGTAAAGGTTAAGACTCCAAACTTTGGTTATGTTAAGTAACACAGGCCATGAAAGAGGGCCTTGAAATTTCTAAAACTCCCAACTAAGAAGAAATAGAGGTTCAAGATGTTTTACAGGGTGAAACTACTGACTGTGAGAACATAGACCCCAAGCTGAATGGTGCCAGAAACCTGATAATGGTCCCTCCCAAGGATATAAATTTGACGACTTGTGGCCTCATCAGTCAGTAATAAGGCCCACAAGATGATCATCCTCTCTTTAACCAGTTGTTGAACTGATTATGTGCCTGGGATTCTCACCCTCAATTTTGCCCTTAAAATTGCATGCAGAAGGGGAACCAGCAGTTAGCGTAATGGCTATGTCGCTGGACTCCCACGTAGTCGACCGCGGTTCGTGTCTCGGACCTGGTGGCTTAAAACTCACGCCGGGCGCGTGTGCGTGCGTGCCCAAGATCCCGAGAGGAGAATGGAGGAGAAGGGATTGCGGCGTGACCATCCCCCCTGGGGGGTGATTTCTCGCTTTCTGTCTCTATGTCTCTCTCTGTCTGTCTGGCGAGCGCACGCGCCCTACAGTGAAAATCTCTCAAAAAAAAAAATTGCATGCAGAGGGACAGAGGATGGTATAGTGATTACATCCCTGGACTCCCATACTGCCGACCATGGTTCAAGTCCTGAACCAGTGACTTGAGACATGACACACATGTGCATTCATGCCCAAGATCTGAGGAGAATGGATTGTGACACAGCCATCCCCCCAGGGAGTGATTTCTCACTTTCCCTTTCACTGTTTCTCTCTCTCTCTCTTTGTAGAAGCAAAAGCCTTTTTAAAAAACACATACAAGGAGACTCGAGGAATCTCTCCTCAGAGAGGCCAAAACTTTTCAGCATAAGCAATCTGCTGTCCTTGCTTTGTGCACTGCAATTAAGTTGCGCTTTCCTTCATCCAGCCTTGTGCCTACGGTTCGGTTTGTAGCACTTGGGCAGTCAGACTCAGTTACATTTTGGCAGCAAGCTCACAGTTAACATCATCCTCAACAACGAAAAGCTAAAAGTTTTCCTCTACCAAGAACAAAAAAACCATGTTCACCCTTGCAATTTCATTTTCACATAATACTGGAGATCCTAATCACAATTGACAAGAAAAAGAAATAAAAGACCTAAAATACAAAAATCTTTTGCATTTCTACAGACTAAAAGCAAACTATCTAAAAATGAAATAAAATATCCTATTCTGAGAGTTCCAGAAAGAATAAAATACTCAGAAAAAATTTAACCAAAGAGGTGAAAGGCCTATACATTAAAAACTATAAAACATTGATTAAAAATTTTAAGGAAAACACAAAGAAATGAATAGATGTCCAATATTTGTTATTGGACAGAAAAGCTGGGAAGTGTTGTATGAAATACTTGATTCTTTGGGTCCAGGCCACTACGATTAGAGATCTAACCCTGAGATTAAAAAAAAAAAAAAAAAAAAAAGCCACAACCACATGAAAAGAGAAGTGTTTTTTGTTTGTTTTGGGAGAGGTTTTTGCTGTAGGGTGCTTGCACTCTCCAGAAAGATGGAGAGAGACAGAGAGACAGAAAGTGAGAAATCACCCCCCTGTGGGGATGGCCACGCCACAATCCCTCCTCCTCCATTCTCTTCTTGGGATCTTGGGCACGCACACACATGTACCCGGTGTGAGTTTAAGCCACCAGGTCCGGGACTCGAACTGTGGTCAACTATATGGGAGGCCAGTGACATAACCATTATGCCAATTGTTGGTCCCAAGCAGTGTTTTTTATAAAAAAAGAGAAGTCGGAGAGCTGCCACGGCTGTTGGGTGCCTTTTTCATGTGATGCACCTTGATGGCAATGCACTCTACTACCCTATGTTCTCTGAATACGTAAAAACTGTGTTATGAAATAGTTATGCCACTGTTGAATTTTTCTTCAAAGGGACAAGAAGTCACTCTACCAAGACATTAACTCCTAAATTTGGTCTTCTAAATAATGTGATAGAACCTTTTTTTTTTCCTTTTTAGAGAGGTTTTAGTTATAGGGCACGTGTGCTCACCAGAAAGACAGAGGTAGACAGAGAGACAGAAAGCAAGAAATCACCCCCCGGTGGGGTGGCCATGCTGCAATCCCTTCTCCTCCATTCTTCTCTCAGGATCTTGGGCATGCATGCATACGCGCCCGGTGTGAGTTTACGCCACCAGATCCGGGACTCGAACCGCAGTCGAGTACATGGGAGTCCAGCGACATAGCCATTACACCAATTGCTGGTCCCCAGTAGAACCATTTTTTAAAAGAGAAGTTTTCAATACTTACCTTGCCCCAATTAGCATCAATTATGATATGATACTGGAGGACACTTTGTGTGTGTATGTGCTCCTAGGCATTCCTAAGCCCAAAGAATCTACAACCAGGTTGTTAAAAGCCAGAATTGTTCTCTGAAAATAATTGGAAACATCCATGTATCCATGTATACTTTGGAGACCCTGTGTCATTGGCTCTCTGGCCACTGGGAAGATGAGTTGGCGTCTACATAACTGGATTCCAAGATACATTCCTCAGAAACAGTCCGAGGATGAGCACACCTTTGTCACAGAAGTTGCCTATAAAATGCAGCTTCTGCATCTCAAAACGTGGTTCTGAACCCAGGGGCCCTAGTAGATGCTGTTCTGCTTCAGAACCAGCCATCCAAGGACTTTGACATCCTGGTAGAGAAGACTTTATGGCTGAAAGTCTTAACCCAGGCATTCGGAGAGTTTCCTGTTTGGCCTGATAATGAGCCTCCTGAGGAAGTGGTGTAGTCCCACATTCTTCATTCAAGCATCTCCAGCATCGCCAGAGACCTAGTTATCTGAAAGTGAACTGCAGAGACTAGGAAGGGGCCATTGGGGTTGCTTCCCTGCACCTCACTCTCCTCATGTGCTCAGTATAAACCAGCTGCTCAGCATGTTTGTCTGTCCCCTCCTTGGTAGCTATAGTGTTGCAGATGACACCTAGGCTCAAGAAAGGAGATACCTACAGGTGCTTTCTCTTCTTACACAATGTTTTCTTCAGATGAGCTCATCTTCCTTTCAGGAAACACACTCAAGGACTTTGAAGAAGGCCATTATCTGCGTTGTAAAGGTGAGACTATACCAGTGACTATGAGAGATACCCTTGTTGCCAAGAAAGGAAACACTGTGGTAGAGTTTTTCATAGGACTCCTTAAACCTTTCCTGAAGTGTTACCAGATAATTCACAGATGCCTCTTGAATAAAAAAGAGAACCGTGCCACTGAGAAGCAGTACTTGGCTGCAATCAGAAAGTTCCTAAGTTGGTTTCTGATCAACATGCCTCTCAGCGTTATGACCATCTTCTGATGTGCAGAAAAATGCTTAGCAGGTTTTGTGAGGCTTGGTGCAGTACAGAAGATGGTAAATAATGACTGTATTTAATGTGAATTATCCTGCCACACTAAATTAGAAGAAGTGCTTGGTTGGAAGTAAAGGAAGAGACACATCTTCTTGCACTGCCTAAGATTTGTGAACAGTGAGCCAGTAGAGAGGAAGAGGTGATCAGTGTAAGCAATCAGTGTACTCTCCTCTGCCACAGTGGTCAAAGGCATTTGTATCCAACTCCATGTGGGGGTTAAAATAAAACATGTTTGGAAAGAAAAAGAGAAATTTATCAGTACGATATTTGGGTCAGCACGTTGCTAGGCAGCAACTGTATTGAGAATGGAACAAGGTGTTATTTTTGCCATGGGATCTTGTTATGAACATTCAGTAGGGGAGGTCTTTCATTACTGCCTTCTCTTTTGACTTGTGGGCATTTGTTGTGTCCGCATACATTTCATCAGATAAAGGAATTTTATTACCTGGTTCGAAAGTCATACAATGCTCAGTGTGGACTTTGAAGGCGTGAACATACACACAGGGATTTTAATTTTGCCCATATTAGATTACTGCCTCCAGTGGGAAATGGATATTGACCAAGATTCCTGAAGAATTCCTGTGTGTGCATAGTTACAATGGCGGGATGGAAGATGGTAACCTTCTCTAAGTCTCTTGAAGAAATCTTAGATAATAAAAAGGTGAGATAAGCTTCCCATTCCCAGCACCAGAAGGGAGGAGCAATTCTTAAAGGAGTCAGGAGGGAGTCCAGTTCTAGCCCCTTATGAGCCATAATGTATGATGCAAAGTCCTGCCATCATATCAGGACTTCCTGTTCATATCTGCTAACTATCTGTAACATGTTCACATTCTGGAAAAATGAATAATGTCAAAATGCCCATACTACCCAAAATTGTTTACAGATTTAATGTAATGCCTATTACAATTCCAATGGCATTTTGCACAGAAATAGAAGGAATCCTACATTTTGTATATAAGATACAAAGAACAAACGTAGCCAAAACAATAGTGAAGAATGAAGCTGGAACCATTACACTTCTTGATTTTGATGAATAAGACAGTCATCAAAACTGTGGTACTGATATAAAAATAGACACGTTTCCATGGACAATGCTCCGTTCATAAGTAAATCTCCATCATCTTGCAAACTGACCTCTCGGGATGATCACAGTGAACATCATTCCAGCCCCATTGTTGGTCTGCAGAACGAAAATTTACTGTAACACACTGCTCATCGGGATTATTGGGTTCATTCGGATGCCAGAATCTGAAAGGGAGAAAAAAGATGATGGTGTTTATGTTATTCATGCTGTCAAAATGGTTAAAGATTATTGGGGTCTGGAGTTGAACAGTGAAATCTGAATGACAAGGTGAAGTATTAACAAACTATTCCTTCCCCACTTCTGTTGCCACATTCCATAAAACCTTCACATTCAGACACTTTCTCCTCCAGGTGTCTCTGGCATTTGCCATGAAAACTATTCCCACATGACCTAGAGTTTTGTCATCTTCAGGAACTCAGGACACCTTGGACGTTGTCCCCAGATAGGGCACAGGAGTCCATGTTCCCACCCTTATGTCCCGTTGGCACGACATTGCCAATCTCACAGGGCTCCCGGGAGTCCATGTTCCCACCCTTATGTCCCGTTGTCACGACATTGCCAATCTCACAGGGTTGTCATAAATGATCAAACATATCTTCCTGCTCCCAACAAATAATATAATTTGGGTGTGGTGGTTTTTTGGCTTGGGGGGTTTAAAAAATTTTTTTTTCCCATGCACACCTTTGGAATCAGGAGAATTAGGTAAATTCCCTGGAGCTATTTACTCCGTTATTTGGGCAAGCAATTTAATCCTCCAGATTCTTACTTTTCCTGTTTAAAAATAAAAATGGTGACCAGGGAAATATCCCTATGATTTTGCATAGTTGACATGAAAATCAAATATATTCTAAAATACTTTAAAATGTTTAAAGAACTACATAAATAGGAGTTATAAGATTATCAGACTTAACAATTTTGATTTATAGGAAATATTGAATCTTGAATTGAATATGTTCTTTGTCGATGCTTTTTGTTTTGTTTAGAAGCAAAAAAGAAAAAAGAAAAAAAAAACAGAGACACTAGTGTCAAATAGACCTACATTTATACGAAAGGGTATCACGGGATGAAATTTTTGGAGTTTTTTTGTTGTTGTTGTTAGATGTTTATTTTGTTTAACATCTGACAGTTAAAATACCCTGTACTCCCTGCATAATCCAAGACCCAAAAGTTTTTTATTTAATTCCATACTCACGAAATACTGCTGTTGTATGGTGTTTGATCAACCCATTGCCAATGTCTCTGACCTTCTGGATCTGACAACCCCACATAATAACTGAAATCTGGGTTCAGAATCTTGATGATGAATTCCTGAGGGAAGAAGATAAAGAATTCTTGGGGACCAGCAGTTAGCATAATGGCTGTCGCTGGACTCCCACGTAGTCGACTGCGGTTCGAGTCCCGGACCCAGTGGCTTAAAACTCACGCTGGGCGCGTGTGTGTGCGTGTCCAAGATCCTGAGAGGACAATGGAGGAGAAGGGATTGTGGCATGGCCATCCTCCCTGGGGGGAGGGGTGGTTTCTCACTTTATGTCTCTATGTCTCTCTCTGTCTGTCTGGCGAGTGCACGCACCCTATAGTGAAAACCTCTCCAAAAAAAAAAGAATTCTTGAGGCCAGCAGATGGTGTAAAAGTTATGTCACTGAACTCTCACATGGCCGGCCACAGTACGAGTCACGGACCCGGAGGCTTGAAACTCACACTGGTTGCATGAACACATGTGCCCAAAATGCTGGGAGGAGAATGGGGACAGGATTGTGGCATGGCCATCTACCTCACAGGTGATTTCTTGCTTCTTGTCTCTCTGGCAAGTGCACAGCACCCTACTGCAAAAAATCTCTCTTACAAAGAAAAGAAAAGAAAAGAAAAAAGATTCTTAGACTTTAGATTACTCAGCTTGAACTCAGTTCTTTATGATTTTAGGAGACTTTTAGGGCCCAGGAACGGCCACATGAAGGACCTCGCAGGAAT